ACAATTTTGTACCTCTCAATGCTTTTTGAGAAGATTAGCGTAATGCTATTGTTTTTAACTCTTTCAGCATACATCTATGGGCTATAACTTTGAAAATTTTTTAAATCAAACTATGTCAATTCCATGAAGAGAAAATTCAAAAATTTGCAAAATATCCTTACAAAAAAATACTATAGTTAACTATAGTTTACTAAAATTAACTATAGTAATAACGTTGTCACTATAGAAACTATAGTTAACTATAGTGATAACTTTGACACTTTGATTTACTGTAGTGATAACTTTGACACTTTGATTTACTGTAGTGATAACTACGAAAACTTTGAAATACTATTACAGTGATCACTCTGATAATTTTGATTTTACTATAGTGATCACTTTGAAAACTTTAATTTATCATAGTGATCACTTTAAAACGTTGATTTACTATTGATAACTGTAGTAAACTATACTTAACAATAGTTTACTAAAATATTTTTTGTTAGGATATCTTCATTATAAAACCTTGTAATTAATTAATAGATTTAATATTGTCTAAATACCTCGCTTAATAACTCAAATGCTATATTTTTATGCCAACACAGAGGCTGTTTTCAGGTATTTAGAGAACAAGACAAAATTTTGTTGTACATACTTTTCAAATCAAATAAATTATGCATATTCGTGTAACTATAGCCTTATATTTCATCTCCAAAATATTATTCAGTGAACTTACCATTGCATATTTGAATACATCATGAAATTGGTATTGCTCTCGGATTTGCGTTTATTTCGTTAGAGAAAGAAATATCGGCATCTAAATGTATTTTCTTTCTTCGCAAATCTGTGCGGATTTTGAAAAATGGAAAGCTTTTTAACATCTGTTCTTGTGTGAAAAGTGAAACTAAATGCAAATGGCAATGTCTTCATATAATCAATGCAAAAAACAATAAAGGACATCACTATATTTGTATTCAATCCATTCGGTTATAAATAGATCTCTTAATAATATCAGGCAAAACAAAAGCATGGTCATTTCATGGTCATGAAGGTTTCAACTTTTCGTCGAAACAGAAACAGGGTTCGTTATGATGAAATATGGAGATAACGAACAATATTCAAGCTCAAAGTCCATTAAAACAATACAAATCGGAAGCAGAGCAAACACAGACCTCCAAAAACATCAGAGGTGGGATCAGGTGCCATGGTGGATTGAGCATCCCCTGCCGACCGGTCACACCTGCCGTGTGCTCCTTGTTATGATTGGTAAATAACGGCAAAATCCGTCGACAAATCAGTGTGTAAATAATGACCTAACAATTAGTATGAAAAACGTCAGTCAGCATATGACATAATGATAGATTGTATTTGCTGACAAGGTCATTGTATCAACCATAGAACTTACGAAATGATGCCTTTAAACGAGACTGTTGATATCCTTGTTTTATCAACTTGTTTGTCAGTAACTTATCTCGCTTTAGAAATAGTTCATACATAGAGAATGCTATTGCGTATCCAATCAACTAAGAGATATACACCCCATATGCAAGTGATAAGGGTATATTGCTACATAGGTAAGGGAAGTTGACGATTGAAAAGTTAAAGTCATCACATTTATCATAAAGCTTTGTTGTTAGATTACCATTAACGTCTTTTTCTAGTAAAATATCCAAGTATGAAAGAGATGGTCAGATTCTTTGGTATCTTTTACTTCAAGCTCACTGGGATATATCGAGTCGACATATGAATGGAAGTAACTATTGTTAACTGATAATAGATCGTCGATTATCTAAATGTCGAGTTGAAGGCCACAGTAAGAGATTTCTTTTTCTCGTGTGTAAGATTTTGAATAAATTCTGCTTCATATGAATACAAAAGTAGGTCTGCTAACAACGGGGCGCAATTGGTACCCATGGGAATTGCAACAGATTGTTAGAAGACCTGGTCTCCAAAAACCACATAGACATTGTCAATCAGAAACTCAAGCATCCTTTTTAATATCAACTTCAGAGTACTTGAGTGTACAATCAGAATGTTTTTAAAAAAATAATTTTGCAAATGAATGATGGCAAGGTAAGTAAATTTACGAGTTCCATTTTTATTGAAAGTGCTTTTTTTCACAATATTCTTGTGTAGATCGCTATTCTCGTGCAACTCATTTTTCTTGATGTAGGCATCAAATCAATGTTAATTTTCTAAAGAAAATATTTTTGAACGATATGTATAATTTGCGGTGACAGTGAACTTCAGATATTTTATAGAAAATTAAATATTTGATTGAAACACCCCTGAACATGACAAAGAACAGTGATTAATCTGATAGATTCAGAATTCTTATATAAAAAATCATGAAAATTGCAAACACAAAACAAAAAAAACAAAAAAAACAACAACAAAAAACAAACAAAACAAAACAAAGAAACAAACAAAAACATCCTCTCCCCCCCACCCCATAAAATAAGGACCTCTGGAAGCACCAAATTCGGGATTAGGTACGAGGAGTAAGTATCCCCTGATGAACAGTCACATCCGACGTGAGCTCATTGTATTGATCAGGTAAACAGAGTATTCTTTTGTCAAAATTTGTACTTAAACAATGGCCATACAATTTGTATGAAACACGTCAGAAAAAAAAACAATAGGCTGGCTGTATTTGCAAACAATGTCATTATCACATTAATAACGACTATATACTAATATTTTGCAAAAAGCTAAATTGTTGGAAGACCTGTAACATCAACTAAATTACCAGTAGCCTGCCTCGGATAAAAAAAAATGATCGTTCTTCGAACATACTCTTGCGTACTCCAATCGGATGGGAGACATAAGCATTATGTGCATTACATAAACAGGGGAGGTTGACGATGGAAAAAGCTGAAGTCATTCCGTTTGTCATATAGTTTACTTGTAAGTTAGCCATTAACGTCTATAGTCAATTAATTTAAACATCTAAATTTAAAACAAATGCAGCAGATTCTGGTGTTTTTAATTTTTGGTTCACTGGGATATATCAAGTCGACATATGTATAAAAGTAACTACCGGTATTGTTAATTAATAAAAAGTCGTCGATATAGCCCAATGTCGACTGGATGCTACGACAAGCATTTTCTTCTACTTTTTAAAAATATAAAAAAAGGTCGACGATAAAGGGTCCTCTGGAATTTCAGCAGATTGTTGAAAAATCTGGTCTCCTAAAGCTATACATACTGTAGATATTGTATACATACTGTAGATATTGTATGCATACTGTAGATATTGTATAATACTGTAGATATTGTATATAGACATTGCCAATGCCGAACTCCATCATCTTTTTAAGATCATCTTCAGAGTAATTATGTGTAGAAAAAGAATGAATATAAAAAAGTAATTCTGAAGATTACATGTACCAATCATAAAATATTATAATATTTTCTGAGTTTCATTCTTATTGATTATGCATGCCTAGGATATCAATAACACTGTTAATCAACATTGGGAAAGGTGGTAAAAGGTGTTGAAAGACATGAATTTATTAAAGTTTGGAAAAACTCCGATTTTATATTCTCCTAAACTTCTTTATAGTATTTGAGAATCCAAACTCGATTTACATCACTTTTTAAATTTGTTGTAGCATAGTTTCCCCTGAATAGAAGTTGTTTTTGAAAGTAGTGGGGATAGCCTTCGGCGTTTATGCAAATTTTCACGCAAGCCAATCGATTGAACACATCATGAAACCAAAAGATTAGACAGTTATTCCTTAAGTAATAGCAGCAGAAAGAATGATATTGGGTTATAAGCACCTGTGAGTCTGCTCATAACCTTTGAACTCTGGAATAAAATTAATTCAGACTTACATGTGAGTATGTTGTTGCTGATGACATAAAGTATGTCAGGGCCTTGAGAAGGGTTATACAGCAGTTTTATTTTTTTAAAAAAAATTAAAGTAAAGTACTAATTTTTCTATAGCTACCTTTTGATATTTTTCGATATTGGAACTTGTCAGGCCTGTAGCAACGTTTTTAATAGTGGAAGAGCCAATTTCCAAGAAAATATGACTAAAGTAAAAAAAAAAAAAATGCCCAAGCACAAAATAATTCCTACTTCGTGGAGGTGGGGGGGGGGGGGTCTCTAACCTTTTCGTATTTTATTTTCAAATTGAAATTCGCAAGTGTTCGACATTACAGCAACAAAAAAGGGGGGATGTGTCCAGGTCTAATTGAAAATTTACATATTAAAAACTACAGCAAAAGAGTGGGGACCGCGTTCTACGGGCCTGTTTGTTATTGCTGAGAAAAACAAAAATAAGAACGAAAATGATAATAATAATTAATAATGAAAACAATATTTCAACTTAACATTTCCTGGATGGTTCGAAATCAACCATCAAAGAATGTTGTACATTACATAATATTGTAGGAAATAGGCCCTGTCAGAAAAACTTTTTGAAGGTTAAAACATAATTTTTACCACATAAATTTAAGCCAACACGATTTTTCAGGTGCTTTGTAGTGTATGAATTGATGAAAAATTCTTTGTAATTATGAAATGATTGATTGCTCTTAATTCATAATTCACGCTTCAGATATTTTATAAAAACATTGTTGTCCAAACCTGTAATACAAATTTCAAAGACATTTCATGAAAAAAAAACTGCCCCTGTGTGACATAGGTTTCATACCATTCCATCATTGCAAGAGTTGAACTTAATCGTTCGGATAATGTAATGCTTTGATTTTTAAAAATGCCTTCAGTTTCAAAAGTAAAAATATTGAAAAAAGATACTGTTTCCTTTTTTTATAAAAAAAATTTACTTAAAAGTGTACGCCCGATTGTCCATATCGCAGGGAACAGTCGCGCATCACACTCACAACTTACGCCGAACTCAGCATGTTATGGAAAATCCCGTGATGATTAATTCCCAATATTATCTGGGTCGCTACTTTGAATAACTTTCAAAAATACTATTCAGCAGTTTCATTTTCTGAAAACTAAGCGTATAATATGCAAATGAACTAACCCACTGATTGATGGCGACCGTGAATAATGATAATTAACGTGGTTGTAATTGTTTGTTTATCAATATGACGTAATTGGCATCACATGCTTTAATACCTGTACAAAATATGCAATTTTCTTGTCCTGTCTTCAAACATGAGTGAGTATGCACTTTTTTAACACGTCTTCATTATTTATTTCACAAATAAGATCCCATTTGCCATTGATCTCCTTATTTGTAGCTGCACAATTTCAAACATTATAAAATTTATATATAAATGACAATTCTGTGGATTTTTTGTGTGACATAATATTGTATGCAAATAAGTAACGAAAACAATGACTCATGTACGTAAAACCTCCTTTGAAAACAGTCAAGGGTCACGACGAGAAAACCTAAGTGTGAATTTCCCGCTAATCCGGATGCTCTTATTTTTCCCTATCTGTTCGTGCGACGCTTGGCGGAAAATAATATTTTGCCAAACCGAGCCGATTTGCCGGTTTAAGAAGGAAAAAGCCTTTCTCTGTTCACTATGTGACTTTCAATTTGTGCGAGTTTTCCTAAATAATCTATTCAGACTTTGACAAGCGTTTGTGGAGTTGTTTTTGTCGAGGAATCCTGAAATTAAAAAAATGTTCCATCCGTACGGACCGAGATACGCCAGCAATCGGTGAGTTATTTATAGGAATCTTCCTGGTTCAGTTTATGACTTTAGTGTGTGATGCATTCGACACAGCATGCATTGATATTTTGTCAACCTTTAAAATATAATAAAGTACTACAATACAATGACCATTTCCAGTCCTATAATTGCTTTGCTACCTTTATGAATTCAGGTGCAAAGATATAGGGGGTCATATCACATGACAAAGCAATGATAAACTTTTCTCTAATGATAACTCTGAAAAAAATTAGCTTCGGGTGGCTGTAAAATCAAACATGTTAACATCATTCTGTGCATTCATGTACTAGTTATTTTTAACTTGATTGTAATTAGTGCAACTTAAAGCACAATAAAAAATGTATCGAAAAGAAAAATGTTTCTGCGTATGAACCATGTTTCAAACACACCTTACGACGTGCACAAAAGTGAATGTGTGAATAAAGAGAAATGAAATTTGGGCTTTTTACCTATTTCAAGTCTTACTGTGACGAATAAAAGTTAAAGTATGAGGATAGTTAAAGTATGGGGATATGTACGTACTTGTGCAGTTACAACTTAAGTCCAGACTATAGTCATCGTAATCACCAGCAGTCTGTAGACAGAGAATCAGCTATTTGTTTAATCATCGGATACCCCCTCCGTTCCCTCCTCAAAGCGATACTGTTGAGTGGACATTTTAAGATGATACTTGGAAACTTTAAAAATAACCCGAAGAGTATAGTATAATCCACTGCTAACTAACTGCAGCATAGTTTTACAGTGCCACTTTGTTCGTGTTTATGGGCACTGAAGAGTGTATGTCCAGATTCATATTACACGATCTACATCTATATATATATTTGAATGTTTTAATTACTAGAACATTGTGTTTACACATACATTACATACTTTTACATGTATTTTATGCTATTTGAACACATGCAGCATGTAATAATAGGAGTAAAACCACGATATTTGTCAAAGATCCCATGAGCTTCAGATCTGAAATGCTTTGCAAATAGAAGTAGGAAATTTACAGCAACTTTGGTTTTCTTGTGACAGATGCGGGCATTAATGTTAAGTTGAGGAAAATTATTTAAAAAATCAAAGATATTTGAGACGAAATTTAATTCCAAGGTTAGACCGGCGTCTTAAAATAAATATGGTTTCCAGACTACAAACATGAGGGTGTGGTATAGAAGTGGGTGTAGGATATATCTGTCCACGCCTCTAAAGAGAGAACTATACTTCCCACAGCAGATTTCGGATAAGACCATATAAACCTAGATTTAGATTTAGCAGTAGATGTTGGCACAAAACCGATCCTTTATATCGCTCAATAGCTATTTATAAGTCTAAATTTGCAGCTTTCCAACGGGCAATAGGGGGCGTATGAATATGAGTGAAACAATTCTCGAAGGGGCATAAAGCAAACAAACAAACAGAAACAAATACAACTGTATATTCTATGCTGTTCGTTTAGTTAACTTGGTCCAGGATTCAAACCCAATTGGTTTGATCAAAGTCGTTATTACATTGTATATTGAAAATACATCACATCTTTGATTTTTTATACCCCCGCTTGAAAAAAGTGGGGGTATATAGTGATTGTAGTGTCCGTCCGTCCGTATGTCCTTACGTCTGTGCGTCAGAACGTCCGTACCATTTCATGGTACCCATCTCTTATTCGCAACTGAATAAAATTTAATGAGACTTTCACAGAATCTTCATTACATAGTGCTATTAATTGTGCATCTCCTATTGAACAACACATTTCGATCGGACAGATATTTGGGTTTCCCATTGCAAAATTTGGATGCTGTCATTCTTTCTATAACATTTGGGGTACGGTACCCATCTTTTATCCACAACTCCTCCTATACCACTACATAAAATTTAATGAGACATTCACAGAATCTTTATTACATATTGCCATTATGCACCTGCTATTTTTCCTTTCGATTCGACAGATATTTGGGTTTCCCATAGCAAAACATGGACACCACTATTCTTTCTATAACATTAGGGGTACCCATTTCTTATCCGCAAACCTCCCTTTACCACTGTTGAAAATTTACTGAGCCTTTCACATAATCTTCATTACATTATGCCATTGTACATCTTCTACATGTATTATTTGATCGGACAGATATCTGGGGTTTCTTATAGCAAGAAATGGACTTTTCCTTTAATACTCTTATGGGAGCGGGGGGTATCGTTCTGCGAGCTCACAGTACCTCTAGTTTGAATTGTGGATATAATGAACAGTCTTCTACCAAAAATTTAATATCCATGTCCCATGGGTCCAGAATTGAGAACTCAGAGTCGGACTACGTTGGTCATGTATTAAAATTTATTTTACAGTGTACCTTTGTTAATTTTATTTATTTATGAACATTCAGCAAGCAAGTTCTATGGTGACGGTAAACTATGCCATTTACCAAATTTGCATAAACCTTGTCCCAAGAGCTGAAGCCACAAGGTGGGGTTTAAATGACCACTTTATTTCCAAAAATCGTTTCTTCTCAAAATCAAGTAGAAACGAGCTTCACAAATTAGCTGCAGAATTGTAGCTGTCTGCTTGAGAAAATTCGGACAGACAAAGCAGAGAGCTACAGATCCAAGCGTTGTAAAGACCTCTCTGCTTTGTCTGTCCGAATTTTCTCAAGCAGAGAGCTACAGTTCTGCAGCTATTCACAAATATGACAGCGCACACAGAGTCCTCTCAAAGTTGTAAATTTCATGTCGCATGAATCCAGAGTACCAGTTCCAAGTCACAGACCTTCAAATACTTTAATCCGACTGACAATGGGAGTATAAAAAAGTCCTTTTCTTATAAAACCAATTTGTCAGGAGGTTTATATCCCAAGTGAGGCTTAGCAAGTCATATATCAAGGGAAACACTTGATACTATCAACGCTTCTGGGTCTCTTGTTCTTCAATTAATAATTCAACATGACAATTCAAGTTCATCTACAAATGTAGGCTTACGGCTAATCGAACTTTTCTGGTCAAATTTTGTCCAGGGCTCTATCAACCGACGTCTGTCTGTTCTCCCTGTCAAATTTTCACTTTTCAGTCCTGCTTAAGAACAAGTGTCAATTTCAACCCAAATATCTAGAAAGCAGCCCTGAGTAAGAGGAATTCAATTCCCTTCAAATCAAAGTTCATGTTCTATTCGAAAACATGAGTGATAAATCTGAAAAAAGAGGAGGGGGGTTTAAATAATCTTCTCTACACCCAATGGGTCAGAAATGAAAAGCTTGGGTTGATAGAGTAGAAATCCTGACCCCAGGGCTACAATTGGGGACAAAGTTAAAACAATAAGACGAGACCACAATATAGGACTAAGGTTTGTTTTTTTTTATTATTAAAACTGTGTTGAAGACCTGAAGTGTCTCATCTTCTCAGTTACTTATTTTTTGTCCGAAACTCATCTATATAGGAACAAACGTTTATATTCTTACAATTTGTTTCTGTAAAATAATTTTTAGAGAACCTATAGCTAATTTGAACATTGTTATCCTCCCTTTTTGCCTCTCGATTACAATCAAATTAATTTTCAAATTAAAGTTTTGATATTGAGGAGTTGGGTGGAATTATTCATTAATGTGCATGAAATTACTATTCAATTGCACAAACCAAAACAGAACTTATTAAAGTTATATAACTTAAAGCTTTTGAATAAAAAAAATCCAATTTACTGTTTTAAAGGAATGATCACAACTGAGCATGAGTTTAAAACGGTTAATCTTTAACAATCTTCTACAAGTGGTTGGAAGACCCATTAAAAAATAATCAAATTAATATATAAAAATCACCAAAGAATTTTAATTTATGTTTCGTATTTGTTTTGGCCCCTGGGGTCAGGGTTAAACCAAAATAGCACATGTAAAAAAAAAAAAAAGATCCCTCCTCAATTATGCCTCCCCAAAACCACCACCACCACCACCCAGCCCAAAAGATTTTTCATTCGTCTTATTTTCAAAAACGTTGCTAGCAAGTATTTGCGATGTAACCAATATGGAAAATAAAAATAGGTAACGCGGAAAAAAAGAATTTATTAAAAATCATATACTCGCAGTGTTAAAGAATTTAAAGTTTTGTAACAGGTCTTGGAAGGTTCAGTATGTGATTTAAAGTAGAATTCTGTCACTGGATGGCATGACTGTGAATAATTTTTTTCCATTACAATTGAAGTCCTTAAATAAATCAAACGTTTTTAAAAAGAGGATTAAAATCTTTATGACGGATGTCTCGAAAAAACACAAATCACACCTACACACGTTTGTTAGGTACATATATATTTTTAATATACGTTCAGAATCAGTTTTAGTTTATTAACAAAAAGAAAGAAAAGGAGCAAGACAGGTGAACTTAATAGCATGAAAAACACTTGTCTTCTAGCAAGTCAGATTTGATTTCATTTTTTTAAAAATTCTTTTTTCAAATATTATAATCAAAATTTTATGCGAAGTAAAAATTTCAGTAAGTGTAACACCAGTAAAACTCGGTT